GAACGTGATCCAAGCTGTTGGCACCGTCTAAAGGAAATGCTAAGCCATCACAGGTCTTCGGGGAGCTCCACACAGTTCCAGCTCCCAGGAGGCAAAGGCAGGTAGGACGGATACAGCCTGGCAGAGTTAAATGAAACTTGCTTTAAAGGGCTGGTGCCAACCACCCCATGCTTTCATTTTCTAGAAGAACTGAGGCCAGAATTTTCTAGGGAAAGTATTAAACACCTGCCTTGGTTTACGTACTGCCTCATGAATACCCATGAACACATTAGTCAAATCAGGGTATCAGAAGAGCTTGTGGGGATCTCAGAACACTTATGTTTTGATGCCAGTTCTAAGTGAAAGCACCATTAGCATCTTGGTGGAATTCCATGGGACTGGTCCAGGCTAATCCCTGAGCACTAAGGGCAAGAAGAGGAGGAGATGTGGTGTATCCATTGTCTTCAGATTTTTCTAGGGCAGGAAGAGGGAGCCAACCTCAGGAGATAATCCTTGACATGATCTATCCTTTGTCATTAGGGAAAGAAATCTGCTATGGTGATCCTGGATGCTTTTCTGACACTGAGCCCTGGGCTGGGACTACAGTCAGGCCCCTAAATATTCTCCCCTGGAGCCCTGAGAAGATTGACACCTGCTTCTAGCTCTACAGTAATGAAAACCCAAACACCTTCAGGTGAGATTCTGTCCATCGGGCTAGGCCACCACAGACTATGATTTCCTTATCCCTGCCGTGCTTCCTCCACCACACCCTGCCCGTCCCAACCCTCCAGCTGCCCCCCTGGCCTTGCCAGACTTGGACAGATTAGGTGTTCTGCAAGTGTTGGCTGGAATGAGTGAATGGTTCACAGTGCTGGAACTTGCAGCTGGCTGCGTGGTTCTGGCCTGGGCAAAGGAATTACTGTCTAACAAGACCTATTGGAAAGGTAAGCCTGTGAGCCACGGCCCGGACCCAGGAGATGGAGCAGGAAGAGGGAGTCTGGGGGCTTCATGTAAGAGATGGCTTTTTCCTAAGCTAGGAAAGGCCTGGTGAAGGGGAAGAGATGGGCTTGTGGGCCAGGTCACAAAATTATGCAGCACTGAACTTTCACAGATTCTCCATCTCTCTGATCCATCAACAGTTGAAGCATCCATTTTTCAAACAACCAGGAAGACCCGGTTCATCATCCACAGCTTCATAGCCAAGGGAGAGTAGAGCTGGGTGACAGACACACATGAGGTAGGAGCCGGCTCTGGCCCCTGCAGCTATCCTGCCGGCTGCGGTCACTTCCCTTGCTTGTCCCTGCCTCATGCTGTGATCACAACACATGAGCCTGATAATAAGAAATCTTTTTCTATATTTGTGGATCACATCTGGATCTAGAAGCAGCAGCATTAGCTATATGAACAAATACTTCCACTGTCTTACTTCTGGTTAAATTAAGACTTGGTGTTTTCTGCTTGTATTTTCCGTGTGTGTCCTTTGTATTTCTGCAAAGGAGGGATTATCCTCTTTTCACCCAAAACTGCCTTATATTCCTGAGAGTATGAGATGTGTTCCTGTAACCACTTATCTGAAATATGGAGAACAAGTAGAATAGAAAGTGCAAGGACTGCATGGAATACGGAGCCTGCTGGTTAGGATGCCACACAACACGTAGTTGTGCACACAGCTGCAGCACATACCACACGGCAGCACAGGTGTACAGTGGACATCTGTGCACATGTGTGCTTGGGCACACACACACACACACACACACGCACGCACAATACACCCCCTTTCTTTCTGTGTACACTGATTCAATCTATTTTTCTGTCACCCAAGAATTTACACCCACATTAACAACATCAGCCTGCCTTCCACACTAATAATGACACCAGTGATGATGTCAACAAGAAAAAAGTCACAAACCTCAAATATCATTCTATCTATATGTGGTGGTGGTTTTCTGGGCCTTCAGCTCTTGCTATTCTTGTCCCAGCATTAATAAGCATCTTATTGACACAGTTGATATCCTAAATTCTCCAGGTTTTTAAGAGGTTCTGTGAGACTGCTTTAAAAATAAAAGTCCTGAGGGGGGGGAACTGTCGGGAGGTGGCACATACCTATAATCGCAGCACTTAGGAGACTGTGACAGGAGGATCACCATGAGTCCCAGGTCAGGCTGAGCCACAAAGAAGTTCAAGGCCAGCCTGAATTACATAGTGAGACTCTGTCTCAAAAAAATAAAACAATACTGTCAGTATTTCTGTGTATGTGATCACACATATTAGCTACCATACTAGTCAGTGGTGGAACCGAATGAGATTCAGACCTGCTCTCTTTATTTCTTTCATTAAGTTTATTGTTACATTTTACGTGAACAATACAGTTACATTCATCATTGGGATCTTGTACCTTTACAGATACATCTTGGTTCTTATTTTTTCCCCATTCCCCTGCCCTTCCTTCACCCCCCTCCACTCCCAGACCTACCCTTTGGCTCAAGCAACTCTGCCTATATAAGAAATCTGCCTTTTATTATCAGTAAATTACTATGCTAGTTCATAACTTTTTAGCTGCTCTGACCAAACCTTCTAAAAAGTATTAAGAAATCCAAGACCTCTGCCAAGAAGGAAATATGGTCAAAAGGAAATACTAATAAATAATATTTTACTTAAACAGCCATGACTAATGCCAGGCACTGTGCTAAATACTACATATTAACTTCTTCTATCTATAACAACTTTATAAAATAGATATTATTTGCTCCCTTTGTAAAATGTAAAATGGGGAAACTGAGGCACAGGAAGATTTTTTTTTTTAAAACGTCTTGCTCAAGATCAGGCAGTTTATTCAAAAAATAGATGAATAGATATTAGGAGCCAAATGACCTAGCCTAAGAATCTGCATTCTTCACTATGATGAGAAAAAGAGAAATGTGACTGTTGAAGAAGAAATCAAAGTAAATGAAAGACTAATAAGGAAAGAAATCCTTGCTCAAATAAAATTTAAAGCTCTTTGCTCATCTTCCCCTCCTCCGTCCATGCTACCAGCATGCTCTTGTAACAAGCAACACTGAGACTTTGTGACTCCATATTCAATATCCAGGATCATGGCACTGACCATTCCAAGGCATGGCACCCTTTAAGTTGGGTAATGCATGACCAGAGCAAATGTACACCTATGTCCTTTGGACAGCAACCCAAAAGGCCTATTGTTCTCCATTGCTGGCCATCGCTTTTAGGGCTGGATCCTTTAGAAGCCAGTTTTGAAGGCACTCCTGAAGAGGTTTGACTTGATCCTGCAGATGCTGACTTTGTTGATGTCATTAGACATCAAGCTCCCTTGATCCCATTCTTGGGTGAGCCCCACCGTGCTCCAACTGTGATCAGGTGAGACTGTGCTTTATCCAGGAGAGGCCTACACTGCAAAATCCTCATTGCTATTGCAAACACTTCAGGTTTGGGAACAAACCAACTGATGGGTCATCTTGACTTCTTACCCAATGGAAGACAGGACATGCCCGGATGTAATAAGAATGCCTTGTCACAGATGGTGAACCTAGATGGCATCTGGTAAGGCAAAGCCATAGTGTCAGGGAAGACATCCCTTTCCCAGGTGAGCAGCATTTGCCATAGCAAATGTTAATACTGAAAACACACACTTCCCTTTAAGATTATACAGTTCTCCTTTCTGGACCTTATTTCTGAAAAATACAGTTGCATACTTATTTATTTATATCTTAGCTCTATGAATTTTCTATTTGCTTAAAATATTGTCCTGTGCATGCTAGGATATATATGCAACAAAGAATTGCAAAGTTATTGCCTCGAACTATAGCCCCCAAAATCAACTGGTAGCTATCCAACAGAGAAAAGAAATACCATAAGAATAAATATTTTTCCTCTACCTAAGAGAGTTTTTCTGCAGACTTCCCCTTAAAAATTAGTAATATGGCTCAAATGTATATAATCAGCTTCAATTCCATAGCCAGTATGAGAATATTCCCAGTGGCTGTCATGGTAAAGCCATTTGCATTACACTGAACAGAAATGAGGAGCAATCACTGTAAGACTTTGGGTAGAGACTATCCAGTTGCCCCTGATGAAGTATGCCTAGGAATAAAGCACATCCTTCAGATACAGCTCTGACTGAATATCTAATGAGGTCACAGAGACAAAGACAGCACTCTGGGAGACTGAGGTAGGAAGGTCACAAGTTTGAGCCCAACCTAGGCAACATCGCAAGACACTGTCCTAAAATTAAAAAAATAAAAATGGAGGTAAGGGTTTAGCTCAGTGTCAAAGCCCTGGCATAAAAAAAAAAAAAAGAACACTAACCCAGTGTAATCTCCAGCCAAAACTGTAATATAGCATCCTACAAGCTAAAATCCACAGTGGTCTAATCAAACCTAATGTGTACAGGTTTTTACTGGATTTGCTCAAAATATCTTAGGTGCCCTCCAAGCAAATATTAAGGATGATAATGTTTGCATTTTACCTTTTCCATCCTTGTGAGGGTTTGCAGGGGTAAGAGTAGCCCAAACTCTCCATCAGTAATGGACACGTAAGTTCAGGCCAGGTCTGGAAGGTGTGTGGTAATGTTTGTCACTTGAACATGAGTTGTGAAGAACCAAAGAATGTTGTGAGGAACAAGATAACAGGAGAATGTTCCTCAGATGGGCTCCACTCGCTTGCTGTAAATTGTGCATGAGAGGATGCTATCTGTAGCTAATCCTACATAGGGATAATATGGTACCCACCTCCCAGGAAAGGAGGACTCCATGGCCAATGCATCTAAAGGGACCAAAACATTTATGGCACATACAGAGCACCCTCCGTATGTTCATTGTTATTATTGCGACTGGATTTTGAATTTATCTTAAATTTTTAAAAATGCAATTCCACTTTGGACTCAGCCCTCTTGGAGGCAATAGCATAGCAGCTGTCACAGCCATCCCCCATGGCCTGTGCAGATTTCTTCCTTTATTTTCCCTAGGAACCCAGGACTTCGTGGCCTGCAACCATCTGAGAAGCTACAAGTATTACTTGGACAGCGTCCTCAACCCCCATGGGTTCGCTACATATCCCTGCACTTCCTACAAGGACTTTGAGTCTGTAAGCAATTGTCCATCCGGGTACCATGGGGGCCAACCACTGTATAGTGGTCCTTCTGTGTCTGGGATTTCGGTGCTGTGATAAGCAATGTAAAACACATAGCGAGAAAGCACCAAAATGTGTTCTTGTGGAACACATTTTTTGGTGTAAAAAGCCTTGATCCCAGTGGTTAAGCTTTCACCTTTTGCCTCTCCCTCTCTCTGGATGATGGGTATTTTTCTCACACGTTTTTCTGTGCATGCTCTGGCCTTGCCAGAAATGTGTACTCCTGTTCTTTCTAAGATCTGCTGTTCTGTAAGTCAGATTCTACTGTGACGTAGCAGACATTCATCACGTGGGTGTAGATGTGCTCTTTAATTTCCCAGAGTTTTCCTCTCTCATGTGACTCATTTGGTCTAGAATCATTGGCATCTCCTGTGGAGTGGAGGTGAGAAAAACTTAGGAAGACGGTCCTGAGGTCTGTTTGCTGGGATGTTGAAGGAAGAGATGGAAGAGAGGGCTGGCGCCAGTGTGAAGCTCACTTGTCAACCTCACTTGTCAACCTCGCATCCAGGACAGCATGTTTGTAGCTTTAAATACTTCAGGAGGAAGCATTTATACCACAGAAGCTTAAACACTAGAATCAAGGCCTTTGGTCCCAGAGAACTGGTTGCTAATCACTGACCAGTGCATCACTAAGTGGACAGTATGATTGACTTAATCTGGGCTGAAGGCATCAGTACATTTGAACGCTCCTTACAGCATTCTAGTGTGTGTGAATCACGGCTGGGAGTTGAAGGCAATTTAGAGTTCATGTGCTCCAACCCCTTTTCTGTTCCAAATGAGGAAGCCAGGGCTGTAGAAAAATTGAGGGTTGGCTCCTTCGAGTATACTGGTTTCAAGAAGACAGGATTGCTTTATATCTCTCTCAGTCCCCTCTCACTAGAACAAGTGGTTCTCTCCAGACCAAGGGTGCCCACAGATGGGTCACTATGCTGACAAGTTTGCAGGTAGGACAGGTGAAAAGCAGAAGAAATTCTTCTTTCTTTCTTTTTTTTTGGTACCGGGTATCGAACTCAGGACCTTGCTCTTACGAGACAGGTGCCCGAACCACTGAGCTAAATCCCTAGCCCCAAAAGAAATTCTTCTTGAACACAGGAGATGCCAAGAATTTTTCATGTAAGTTTTATTTTGACCACTTACTTTCCCAAGTAAAGAAAATACAGTTTCTGTTACAAATGCAAGGCTTGCCTCTAACCTGAAGTGTTTGTGGACACATATTGATCATCGTAGAAAAGGACACATCTATCCACCCTCTCCCATTTAAGACTCAGCTGAGGATTTAGAAACAACTTACACTTTCTTCCATTTTATTTCTATGCCATGAAATGAGAGGAAGGGAATGGTATGATTAACAGGATTATGGCGATTGGCCAGGCTTTGTGACCATTTACCCTGGATTCTTACCACTCTGCAGTTCATTGTTCCTTCCCTTTAAGACTTTGTTGACATCTGCTTCTTTATTTAGCAAACTCATTTCATACTAGATCTTTCTGGGACTGCAACCCAAGGAGCCCATCTCTCTGCCTTCCCTTCCTGTCTATGCATCACTGAGGTGGGCGGGGTAGTAGGTAGGGGGAATGGTGATTTCTCTCCAAACCTTGGAGAATGACTAAGACACAGGGTAGAAATAAGGCTGTATGTGGTACTTTATGACCATTTGCCTCTGACAGTTCCACTGGGTGCTGGCCAGCAAAACAAAGAGTGTGTGTTTATTTATACAGATATATAAAAATAATACATGTCTCAAAAGGCTTTTAAAGTCAAGTTTATTTAGGTATAATTTATATATAGCAAATTCATCCTTTTTGGTGTATAGTTCTATGAGTTTTGACAAATGAACAGATGTGTAATTACCTCCGCTATCGAGATGCAGAACCTTTCCATCATGTAAATATATATATATATGGATAGATATATAAAGATACATAAAACTTTTTCATAAGAAGATGTTGGTTAATCCATCCATCTACCAACGTAGTGATGCATGAAATACTTCTCCATATTTTAACAACAAAGTAGGCACTCAAAAACTATGTATTTATTCCTCAACCCAGATTTATTTTTGAGGCATAGACTTGGGCTGCTAGACCCTGGAGATGCAGGGGTGAAAAAGATACTCTACTCATAAAATTTATAATTCAGCAGAAAAGGAAACTGAGCAACTACAAGTGTAGAGGGCTTGGCAGTTACTGCCTCCATATTATGAAACAGGGGACCTGACCCTGACCAGAGCGAGGAACAGGGACAGTGTCTCTGAGGATATGAAAGCTAAGAAGGAGTTAGGCAAAAGTGCAGTTGGGCACGTATGTGTGTGCGCATGTGCGAGTGTGTGCATAGGTGTTTCCGTGTGACTGTGTGTGTACTGAGTGTGTGCAATAATTTCTGTGTGTGTGAAGGTGTGACTCTGTGTGTAGTTCACATGTATGTGTTTGGGTGCGGGACAGCAGTCTGGGTACCCACATAGATGACAATGGCCTGGGCACCTGCTCTGTGCTGGAACCTTCCTGGGGCACTGGGGATGCAGAGAGGAGACAGTCTGGGCAGGGTACTCTGCTCCTTGGCTCACAGCACTGCCCTCTGCAGCAGAGCTGTCCCACACAGATTTCTGCAGCCACGGGCACCTTCTGCCCGTCACTTCCGGAAACCCCTCGGCTGCATGGCAGTTTAGTACTGGGAATGTGACTAGTGAACTGGAGGGGATAAAGTTCTCGTTTTATTTCATTTAAATTTAAATGTAAATGGCCATGGTGGCTGTGGGCCTCTTAGCCGGCAGTTCAGGTACAGAGTGGGCTGCTCTTCCCCCTTCAGAATGAATTCAAGGTGTGAATTAATAAGTAGAGTTTCTCCTACTATAATGCCTCCATGTGAGGGACAAGGACAGGAATTCTGGATTTGGATCACCCACTTTGTGCATGGAGAGACTGAACTCTTCTGTGTGCTGTGCAGGCTGGAGATAAGGAGTTTGCATCACACTATCCAGAAGAATGATCACTGGTCAGGTCAAAGTTGCTCTGTTTGGAGATACAGGAAGCACTCGACAGTATAATATCTTTAGGTGATTCCTACTTTAGTGCACATCTCATATTATAATATACATGGTTTTCAAAGCATGTACTTAACTCATCATTAATGGGTTTTAATTATTTACATACTAAAGTTCATTTCAAAACTTTACCAATAACTTATTTCCTGTAATCTAAACTCAACCATTTAGATCTGTCTCAGAACATCATATTTTAAAAAATCTAATGTACCCCAGATATCCTGTTTTCTTTTTTTTTCATTAAGTTTATTGGTACATTTAAAGGAAACAATACAGTTACATTCGTCATTGGGATCTTGTAACTTCACATGATGTATCTTGGTTCTTGTTTTTTTCCCATACCCCTGCCCTCCCTTCACCCCCTTCACCCTTCCCAATTTACAAAGACTTTGCTTCCATTTTTTTCCTTTTTTCACCTTTTTTCTTTCCCCTTATTTCCTTCCCCCTCCCCTTCCCACTTCCCCTTTAGCCATTTTCTTCCTATTTCACACTTATCAATTATATCATTTGAACCTTATTTACACTTTCAGTTTTTCACACCAGAGAAACTATTTGGAATTTTTACTCAAGTGTGTCCTGTTCATTTCACTTAAGAGTATGGTCTCAATGTGCATCCATTTAGCTGAATATCCTGTTTTCTTACTAGCACAATAACACATGTTAAGTCACTAATTTGTTACTATATGAATAAATCTTCCAGAAAAAAAATAAAATGATGTGAAAAAATTGTATAAATTTCTATAAGAATTTTTTGAGGAGAAATCACTTTGAGTTTGAAAAGCAGTCCTGTATTAGACAGGTTCCTGTCAATGAGACAACCTAAGGGAGGAAAGGCCTAGGTTCGCTCATAATTTCAAAGGCTTCAGTCTGTGGTCCGCTGGCTCCAAGGCAGAAATATCCTGTTGGAAGGGAGTGGTGGAGCACAGCTGCCCGCCTTAGGGCAGCCAGGAAGCAGAGAGAGCTTAAGAGAACAGACAGAGAGGAAGGGGCAGGGGACAGGATGTACCCTTCAAAGGCAAGCCCCAGAGATCCACTTCCACCAGCTAGGCCCTGTCCCTTACTGATCCATGCAGCTATGATGAGAACAAGCCTCACCCTGACACTGGGGCATTGCTACATTGCTACCTTCATTGGGAAGCCAGCCAATGAGCCTTAGGAGGCATTTACTGTTTAACCCATAACAAATCCTTAAGTAATAGGCATACAGCTGTCTTTTCCATTTCTTTTATTTGAGGATTAAATTGGAAGAAGACTCTTGCTTTGTTTTGTTTTGTTGCTTATTCTTTACAGTTCTGAGGATTGACCCTGGACCTTCACACTGAGATATATCCCTAGCCCTTTTTAACAAGTTTTATTTTGAAAGAGTCTACTACATTACCCAGGCAGGACTCGGCAATCCTCCTGGCCTCAGTCCTCATTAGATGAACTTGCATGACCAAAGCTATTTCCACTTCTTTGTTTCCAGGGGGATCATCACACCAGGCTCTTCCCTCTCCAAGGAGGTTGATGGGGAGCTTGATGTTGAGACAGTTGAGAAAGTCAAGTTTCTGTGGAATAATGATATAGTAAACCCAATTTTCCCCAAAGCAGGTGCAGCCAAGATCATGGTACAAAAGGGAGAGGAGTAGAAGGTGTAAGTACCTTTGCTGGTTGTGTCTCAGGGTGTATGCAGAGATCCGTGCCTGTAGTGGAAACTCACTCCAGAAAGTCAGTTAAGCCAAGAACATATACCTATCCCTGGTTCCTTCTTCCTGGCAAACAAATAGCTGACAGCAAACAGTTTTCCTCTATGTGTACTTTACTGGCATTCTAATGCTGAAGGACAAATAGAAATGCAGAAGTCATTTCTGAAGGGTAAAAGTTTGTAAGAGTGAGCTAGAGAGTGACTACATTTTGAAAAGGAGAGACCAGTGACATTTCTGAGTAGAGGAAAGAAAAATAAATCAGTTTCAAGAAAAGGTAGAAAATTTGGCATAGGACAAGAGAGCACTGAAGTAGTGATATTTGTGGGATTGTCATCCTGCCCCATGGCCTCTATGGGCTCAAGGAATAGGGTTTGAGCAGAGAAAGGAGGCATCTGGAAGGGACTATGGGTAGTGACCAGAGGGCTACAGATCAAAGTTCGACCCCAAGTCTACCAGCAGGGCATTTCTTGTGTGGCTTTGTGGGAAGGGGATCTGGGAGTTCAGACACTGGTGGTCTTGAAGTTTAGGAATTAGGCAGGACCACCAAGCTCAGGCGCCTGGGAATGTCACTCTCCCAGGTGAGGAGGGAGGGTTGGCGAAGTGGCGTGGAGGCTAACATGTGTCATCGAACTGAATGGCCTTCTGATGTCCCCCCTGTCCCTCTGACATGGAAGGACATTGAGGCTGGTCCAGGCTGGTGGTCAGTGGAACCAGGAGTCCCTATGGCTAAAGGGCAGCACAGAGAAGTCCCCTTGGCCAATGGAGAGCCCCGAGCAAGCTGCGGGTACAACCAGGGTCTCCTCTGCTGGGACTTACACAAGGACATGCTGTAATGTCAGCTCCCAGGGGTCCAGGAGGCAACTCCCTGGACCTGGATCCTGGGACTCTGTGGCCAAAACTGCATAAGAAGAAGGGAGCATCATGAGACTCTTGAAAATGAGAGGTGTTCTCAGGAAAGTTCTTCTTTTTAATCTTATAGAGTTTATTTGGTACCTTTTAAGTATACAGTATAGTTACATTCTTCATTGGGATCTTGTACCCTTATATGACAGATCTCAGAAAAGTTCTTACAGGTAAGAAGCAGGTGGCCAAAGAAGCCAGAGCATGGCACCTTCCAGGTTTCTGAGGAAAGGTCCGGACTTTCTGAACTCTCCAGAAATGAAATAGACATAGTCAAAGCCACCTCTGAGGCCTGGGCCCTTCAGCTGCCATCCAAACCCTCCAGTAGCTGAGGGTAGCCACCCCTGCCTATCCTCTCCACTGAGAATATATTTTAGCACAAGCAGGATATCAGATGTTAATTTTTTTAAATTCAGGAAAGCCAAAACCAGCTTTACAGATCACAAACTAGCCTGGAAATTTTTTTTTAAAATCTCAGTTATTCAAATCATTCGGATATTTTGTCATTATGGAAATGACCAACAACATTTTTAAAAATAGCAATTGCTAAGTTAAAGAAAATCTATTTGTTTGGTCCAGCCTCTTCTCAACTCCCCCTCAGATGTTCTAGTCACCTTCCTGGGGTTTTGAGTGCTACCTGGGAAGCTGCTAATCAGAATTATTTCCAGTGATACAAGAACAAAAGAAAAATGTAGTCCTCCCATCCCTTATTTCCCCAGGAACTTCTTCAGCATCCACTGTAATTGTACCTTTGTAAGGGACTTAATTAAGTCCCTATCCTCTGTCTGACAAACAGTAGGGGATATAAACACAGAGTCTGCTGGCCAGAAGTTTCAGCTGTTGAGAAAAAAGAATGAGAGGCATAGCAAGGTCACATGACAGGATAAAGAAGTCACCCTGAGGAGCCCAAAGAGACTGGCCAGGGGCAGAGCAGAGTGTCCAAAGGAGGAGCCCTGGAGGCTGGGGAGTCATGAACGGAGGGGCAAGAAGGACAAGAGCAGCAGCAGCAGGCACAGGGATGTGTGGGATGGAGGAGGCCAGACCGCCTGGTGGCAGGAGGCAGGGTGCAGGGCACAGGACAAATGCCAGGTTAGGCTTCTCAGAAAAAACAAACTAATTCAAAAGAAGAAGTAGAAGGGTGAAGACTGGAGGAAGCCTCAGCACTCAAAGATGGTAGGGTCAGGAGAGAAGCCCACGTTCCTGAAAAACCACAACAACAGCTGTTTATGTCTGCGTTGTTTGGGGGTTAACTTTAAATGGGTTATGTTTATTGCCATGGGAAGTTGAATTATTGTCATAGATTCTCAGGGATCATCCGAAGGAGCCCTTGTCTGCAAACAAAGATAGCGTCAAGGAACATGACTGTTTCATAGACAGAAGCTGGCAGAGGCTTAGGACACCTGGGGAAAAGCCAGGGCCCCCTGACTCCAGACCTGAAAGACAAGGTCAAAGTAGATTTGATGTGTGACCCGACCACAAACAGTTTGGACTGTGGTAGCAGTTGGACCTGTATTTGCACCTCCTTTCTTCCTCTTACTAACTGACAATTCTCTCTGCCTCAGTTTCCTCTGCCATGAGGTAGGGCTAATAAAGACCTCACATGCGTGTGGTGAGGATGGAGTGCATACAAGGGGATCATTTAGCAAAGTTGCTGTCACTACGAAGAGCTCTGTATTTCATTCAGCTGGGTCCCAAGAGAAACCTAAAGAAGAGTAAGTCAGCCGTATGCACTGAGCCTACCATAGGCTCACAGGAATGAGAGAAGGCAGGGTCACTGCTGCTTCACGAGCCGTAGTTCTGTCACACAGAGGGCCTGGCAACAGGGGTCACTCTGAAGCACGAGCAGACACTGTCCTGGACCCAGGTGGGCCCTCAGCCTGGAAGCCTAAGTAAGGCACCAGTTCTCCATGGCCCCAGTGCTTGCCCGTTCCTTCAGAACTGTCAGTCAGATTAACCTCTGCTGGACAACTCAGGCCACTGCGGCTTTCCTAGGTCACCCGACTTCTGTAGTGAAGATGCTGTGAGAGAAGATGTGCGCTCACCCTCATGCCCTGTGAAACTCCAGGCACAGTATGACCACTCAACACCAATAAAATCCACTTCTGAGTCTATCTGTTCACTGTGTCTATCTCAGACATCAGCCGCTACCTGTGCTGACGTTTAGGAACTGAATGTTTAACGGTGTCCCGAGCACTTCTACATCTCTAGTCAGTGGCTTCTATCATGTACCACTTTGCCCCAGCTTTCCTGGTCCGTGTGCTCAGTCTCGTCCCTTTCTCTGAGGGCCTGATGACTCACAGCAGAAGGAAAGAATAAATGCTTAGGGACCTCAGCAGAATCTCTCCCCCCACCCCTTGTCGTACAGTGAGAAACTGAGGCACAAAAGGGCAGAGTTAGCTGTCCAGACTCGCAGAGGGATTTAGTGTTCCCGCAGGATGGAGGGCCAGGCCTTGACCTGGCTGTCACACTCCTCCCTATCTCGTCGTTGGATCAAGGGAAGATGCTGGGATGGTATATCTTCTGGAAGTAATAGCTTTGGTGGGCATGGGACCATGTTGTGACCCTGGTTCTTCTCGAGGAATCCAGAGACTCTGTGGTGGGAATATGCACACAGCACCTGCAGTCTTCTGGCCCCCACTGCTGGCTACGACTGCCTCAGGGTCTTCAGGGTCAGACAGAGACTATGGCAGAACAAGGTGGGAGCCCAAGCAGGGTCCAGGAATGGGTTTGGAAGAGTGCACAGCACAGGCCTGCTGGGGAGGGACTCTTCCAGATAAATGCACTGCCATTGGAGCTTCTGGAGAGCCCTCAACCAATCATCTGTCTCCATGTTTCACCCACATAGGTCCTGGGAGGAAAGGGTGCCTTCAAGATGACCCAGTCTATGCCAAATTATCTAACCAGGTCACCACCTCCCAGGAGCAGGTCTTCTGGATCACCAAGCTTCACGTCCCCCTGTGGCACTTCCAGTCCCCCAGCTTCTGTTTCTAAGGAGCAACACCACACCAAGCAATGCCATCTTCAAACTCAAATGCAAGTGGGTTCCAGACTGTCGCTGATGGCGGGGCTGTGGGAGGACAGAAGGAGCTACCATAGTAGAGGCCTTGCAGTGTAACTGGGGACAAATTAACACTCTTGCTTCACTTGCTCTTAATATTTGCCTTTAATGCTCACTAATTTTAGAGGTCCCGTTGCTGAGCAATGTCAATAGTGTCCCACTAGCGTTGCTGTAGATGACACCAGCGTGTGGATTTTGATAATGTCAGTTCCTGAATTACTTTTCAGGTACTGGAGGACTGTGTTAGTCAAACACACTGACTCTTCATGTGGATCTAACATGACTGACAGGTGACTGGGACAGGAAACAAAAGGTTGGCGCCTCTGCCTGCAGATTCTATCTGTCTCCTTTGCTACCTTCAGGTCAGAGTATTTTGGTCCAACTTCACACAGAGCCATATTAGTCACATAAGGAATATTTGTCTGGCACACTAATTTACAAGGTTGATCTATCAATACGGTGAATGTTTAAGTTTTTCTTCAAAATTGCATGACAATAAAAGATACAGACACACATCCCAGTGTTCTTGCCACTTTCCCAAGCAGTTTTCGAAATCCCCTTTCATGAGTGTCTTTGAGTTGTGCCTGCTTCAATAACCTGAATCAATTCAAAACATTTACCCTTCACGGGTCAATGGGGGCAGAGCAGAAATGATTGGGGGAAGAGCCAGAAGTCACACAGCACCAAACTCAGAGAATAAGGTGGACGAAGACACATGTTTTTACCACAGCTTGGTGCTCTGCAGCAGCGTTCACCACATTATTTTATCACACCATACAAAGGCACTAGCCAGAGAGGATGTCCAGAACTGCTAATGCCTCCTACTCACATAAAGGTACCCCAACCTTTAATTAAGTCTTTTTCTTTCCAGAGAGGCCCGCTTTTCATTCTGACTGAGCAACTGGACTTTAATAATTTTGGAATTTGCTCACTATGCAGCTAATGTACCTGTTCTATGGGGTGCCTCCCTGGGAGGTTTGTTCCTGTTCTTCCCCTCTTTAACCCTCATGAATCTGACAAGGATTCTTTTTGTGTGCTAACAAGCTATAGGATTCATGTTTGGATTCTCTCATTTCCACCATGGGAAGCAGGGTAATATTCTGCTTATTAACGTAAACCTCAGAACTGGCTTGGTTGGAGGTAATAGAAGTAGTTTCTGCACTAGCAGTCAGGGTATAGCCAAGAAGATGACCTTGCATTAAGGGTTTCTGGATCTCTGGGCCACTGCTTTCTCACCTGTCCAATAGAGGCAAAGGCCTGGGGCTCTCCTTTTTTAATTGATGTTTTCAGGCTATAACCAGAAAGCCAACAGCACCACGGAATGTGAGGCTCTACCCTTAAATCAGCTGCTTTAAGATGAGTGAGGCAACCTCGTGAGTGTGACCACAGTCTGACTACAGACCCTAAAGCTCCCAGAAGGCTGGAGCCTCGAAGAACTCTGGGGCCCTCGGCACTAGGCACAGCCGTGCTTCTTAAGGTCAGATTCATGTCTATGCAATGCACACCCATGCAAGAGGCATAGGCTGCCCAGGCCCATAGGGCATTAAGGACACAGCATTAGCCAAGACACAACCGAAGGCTGCTCTAGGTGTTTGCATCCTGGCTGCAGAAGAATCACCTGGGAGCTTCAAAAAGGAAAAGGGAATTCCCAACCTGACCAGTTAAAGAGCAGTCAGGAGCAGAAGACTTGTAAGAGAATATACAGGTGATTTCAATGTGCAAGAGGTGACACTACACCATGATCCAGGAGACCTCAGGCTTCCAGGTGTGGAGAAAATTAATTCTGTGCATCTTTAGGAAAATATCAATTTTGTGCTCTCACTTTAAGGATAATCTATTTTAAACTGTTATAGAAATAAAGCTTTCTCCTTGCATTAATTTGCAACAAGATTTTGTTTCCTGTTCTGACATTTAATAAAGTGAGATCAATAGGAATATTCCAGAGGGCTGTGAGAATATTTTAGACAGGTTGGCATCCACATATTTACTTGATTCTCATAAATCTTGGGAAGTATGGTCTTGGACTGAAAATGTGGGTGACACGTCCAGCATCTCAGGCTTTGGAAGAGAACTTTCTCTAGGAACTGGAATGAAAAAGCAAATGTCACTGGGGACTGGGGACGTGGTGCAGGGAAGCCACAGGCATAACAGCTCAGAAGACAGAAAAAGAAAGTTCATCCCAGATCTGAGTCCTTCTATCTGAGTGATTATCAAGTAATGATCCAAAAGTGGCAGGACTAGGAGGCTAGGTTTCCTTTGCTAGAGTTTCTGTAACAAAATACCACCACTGAGTGGCTTAAACAACAGACATTCACCATCTCACAGTTCTGGAGGCCCAAACCCCTAAAACAAGGTGTCACCAGACTTGGTTCCTTCTGAGAGCCATGAGGGAAAATCTGCCCCCTGCCTGTCTCAGCTTCTGGCAGTGTCTAGCCAGTCTTTGACATTCCTTGATGATCTCTGCCTTCTTATTCACAGAATATCTACCCTGTGTGTGTCTCGGTGTCCAAATTTCCCCTTTTGATAAGGACACTGATCATATCAGAAAAAAGGCCCACCCTAATGACCCCATTTTCACTTGATTACTTCTGGAAAGACCCTATCTCTAAATAAGGTCATGTTTTGAGGTACTGGGGATCAGGACTCCAAAGTATCTCTTTTTGGACAAATTAGGAAGAGGGGGAAAAAGTTCATTTTGGAGCTGAGTCATTCTATATGTGATAGTCATTATTAGTCAGGAAGGCCTGAGAGAGTGGTAGAACGACCACTATCAGTGGCCACGGTTTGAGAGTCTGTATCCTTCCTAAATTCATGCTGAAACTTAAGCTCCATCATCATGGTGTGGGGAATGACAAAATCATGAAGGCTTACCTTTGTGAAAGGGGGATCGATACTCTATGAAGAGTTTGAAGAGGGCCACCTTCCCTCTGTTTCACCAGGTGAGAGCACAGCAGTCATCACTTTTGATGCCTCAGCCCTGTGTGTTTGCAGCAAGAAGGCAACATGTTGGAAACAGAGCAGCCCTCACCAGAGATCAGACCTGCTAGCGGCTCCATCTTGAGCTTCCTAGGTCTCCAGAACTACAACAAGTAAGTTTTTATAAAAATCCCCCAGTTCTTGGCATTTTATTATAGTAACACAGATGGACTGAAACAATACATTGCATATTCTGAAATCCTATTGTTATATCCCTCTCCTATTATTCTAAAAGCTCAAGTCACATATAGTGTAACCCACATACAAGCCTCCTCCTTGTGCTTTCTCTCATTAACACTTTTGGTAATTATGTGTTTATTTGTAGGTAACCATGTACCCTGTAGGAAAGTCAGTCCTATAAGAATAGAGAAGGAGGATGTTTTGTTTATTGTTGTACCATAAAGGCTAGATATATTAGTCAGTCATCCATCACTGTAACAAAGTACCTGAAATAAACAATCTTCAAGGAGGAAAGGTTTATTTTGGTTCGTGCTTTCAGAGGTTTTCCATCATAGTTGCCTGGTCCTGGTGCCTTGGGCCTATGGGGCATAGTCCACCATGATAGGAACATGTGGCACAGGTCTGTTCACTTCATGTGGCAGCTAGGAAGCAAAGAGAGAATCAGGAAGGGACTTGGGTCCCAATATCCCTTCCAAGGGCAAGCCCCCAATGCCCTACCTTCCTTCCATTGGGCACCTCCTAAAGGTTCCAACACCTCCCAATTGCACTATAGGTTCAAGACCAAGCCTTCAAAGCAAGGGACTTTGGGAGGTGCTAAGGCTTGTGTCTCGATGTCCCCCAAAAGCCTCATATACTCACAGATGGAGCCTTTTGGAAGTGTGAATATAGATCTAGGGTGTGTGAATATGGATTAAGGATGTGTGAAAACTAAATTAGTCTATAGATTCATTTACATTGTTCTGGGTGTGGATGGCACCATCCAATAAGCTTGAATCCTGGGTGGAGTAAAAGAGAAAGCCAAAGGAAGGTTACTGTTTCCTGACTGCCCTACAGTAGACTGTTTCTCCTCTTCCATGCCCTTCTTCCATACCAACCTACTTTGGTGACTATGGACTGAAATCTCTACAAACTGTGAGCTAAAATAAACCTTTCTTTCTTTGACTTGCCAGCGTCCTGTATTTTGTACCAGCAATGAGAAAAGTGACATAGAGGATATTCAAGATCTAAACTATAACACTGTGAGAGTGCTCAGCACACTCTAGCTACGTAATGAATGTGAACAAAGAAAAGAACATGTGAATCATGCACCTGAAGGCACTGACGAAGTACTCGCAGGACTAAAACTAGGAAGGAAATCAGAGAGGCTGGCCTGGAGGGACATGCAGAGACCTGGAGAGAGGTGATGTCAGCTGCAAGCAAGGGCAGGGAGATGAAGGGGAGGAAACAGGTACAAATCAAAGTGGTTTCAACACAAAGGGAGGAGGACCCAAGCACCCCAGCCCCTGGGTAACTGCTAGGCCAATTGGCAGTGCTCACCCAGGCCCTGACCCTGACACCTGACAACCACCAGCCATATGGCCAGAGAGTGAGTTTTCCCACAGATGCTGGCCTTCGCTTCCTTCCCACGGCAGACTGCTGGCAGAACCTCAGGTCGTAATGCCCCAGAGAGGGTGGGCAGCTGAGCTTGCCTGGCCTTGGCAGGCAAGTGGAAATGAATAAGTGTCCCTGGACCCAGCTGGCCTGTCTTGGGCCACCCTGTGGAAGAAATCAAGCAGGATCTAGACTGCTTAGGGACACCCAGTATAGCTTTCTCCAACCACCAGTTATGGAGGCAGGGATTATGGTGCCCTCCTTGAAGGCGGCTTAGTGCAAGGACAATAATCTAAGTCAGCCTAGATTCCTTCCATATCACAGGTCAATAAACTGAGACCTGCAAGAGAGAGGAAGTGGGAACCCAAAATCAAGCCCTCCTCTTTTATTCCCTTTTATACTAAGCTCAACCTTTCTTGACCTCTTGCTTCAGGTGTAAAATGGGAATGGGCTCCCTCTGTTTCTTGAGTGTTTTACAGCTCTAGGAACTTGGACTTGATCACCACTGAGGACAGCTCCTAAACCACCACTGCCTAGTTCTTTTCTTATACTCAGCTCGCTCCACTGCTCTCAACATCTGGCTCTGGGACTGTGCTCCTTCAGTGGGTTCATCCCTCCCACTTCTCATTCATTATGTTGGGCATTGTCACCTCTGGATGATTTCTGATCCTCTTTAAAGAGGACTTTAAGTGATGTATCCCTTCAGGGTGATTCTCTCTTACATAGAGAGGTGGCATTCTTTCTCTAGACTATGGTTTGCATATTTTTGTAGGATCCCACAGTTGAGAATGGCTTTAGGAGTAGATGACCCACTGAACATCCTGAGCAAGGACGGGGAGCAATTTTAAGCTTTGGCTTCATTGAGGGATAGGTGACCCCATTCAGTTCCACTTTCTCACTTATATGTCACTTTCTCAGTTCCACAAGCCTTGACTTTCCTTAAGCCCATTTGAGATGGGAAGTTTATTTCTTAGCTCCATCAGCTCCACACTGCGCATCTGCAGCCTTGCTGTTCTCAGAAGAAAGTTCATACACACACACACACACACACACACACACACACACACACACACACACACACACACACACACACACACACACACACACACACACACACACACACACCATTTTATACTTGAAACTCTCAGGAAACTACTGGGATTGGATACTTCTTGGATTGGATAAAGGGCAGTAGTAGAACATGGCACACTGGACAGCCCATCTTACTGCTGCTGGTGGGAGTTTCCACCAGTGCAACTACCCAGGAGAACTGTGCCCACATCCAGAGCCCTCAAAGCTTTCCTGTGAACCTGACAGACATGAGTGCGTGTGTCTATCCAAATACCCAGACTAGACTAGAATGTTCCTAGCAGTATCACAATAGCCCCAAACTGAAAAGAACCCACATTCTCACAAACAGCAGAATGGAGACACAGACTGATATATTTTCCTGAGAAATATGTCAATACTACATAGCAATTTAAAAAAATAATAATCAAATACTAATTGATACATGTGCAGGGTACTCAAGAGCCCATACTGCTTTGATTCATACTTGATATTTTACAACAGACAAAGCTGGGGCCAGAAATCAGAGGAGCCACCGTGGATGGGGTTGGTGATAAATTAATCACTACAGAGACTCCTGGCTGCTGATAACCTTGATCTGGGGCATATGCATAAGTGTGAGGCAGGAGGGGAAATGGCAGGCAATGAAGTAGGAGCCCAAACAAGAACAAACAGGAAGTTGCAATCTGGCTGGATGAACAACTATAACTTTAGGTTATTATATCTAGGAATCAAGAAGTGTGTATACAACTGAGGACTGACTATGCAAAGTTTGTAAAACTACAAATATATGTTAGAGAAATGCACAGTAATCAGTCAGCACTTTCTTTATCCAACATGCTTTGCCTCTGGATCTTAAACACATGAAATGGCCAGTAAAACTGTTAGCATTGCTGCTGTTTATATTCAGTACAACGTAGATGAGGAAAACTCCGCCATTTGGACAATCTTACCACTTACAACCTGGTCTGTATCGACTGGATTTAACCTACGTAAGCATTTTGTTAGCATCTAAATGAAACACACTGGTCCATCAGGTAACAAGTCTTCTGTCATCACTTACATCATCTCCCAAGAGCTCTGAAACTATTCTTTGATTTGTGTCAGTGTTGTTAAACTTTGTAGACTTGTGAAATGCAAAATATACTACTCAGTCATAGACTCTAAATTTGGCAAAGCTAAGTTTTTATAGAAAAGACTTCTATATGGCTATAACATTAATTCTTGCTCACTTTTCTGTATGTCAAATACATTTAATTCCTCAAGTATACAAGTCTTCTAAAATACAGGGTTTAAGAAAAACTGCTTCTTGGGTGTGGTGGCGCACGCCTGTAATCCCAGCACTTGGGAGGCTGAGGTAGGAGGATCACTGTGAGTTCGAGACCAACCTGGGCTACATAGTGAGTTCCAGGTCAGTCTCAACTACATAGTGAGACCCTGTCTCAAATAAAATAAAATAAAATAAAATAAAACAAACAAATAAATAAATAAATAAATTTTAAAAAGAAAAACCCCTTGTCATACCAGTAACTCCCCTTACCAAATTTGTTTGTAATAATAGACTCTTTAGGCTTATGAGTTCCTAATTATATTATGATAATTAAATAGGCTTGACCACTGTGTGTTCCAAAATCAGTCACTTAGAAAGAATATCTGTAAATAAGTATATGCTACTTAAGGAGATCCTAACAAATACTCTTAGATAAAACTTTTTAACAAAACTAAGCGTGGATTATGTTTTGTGGATTTTGCTCCTATCAATTTTGTTTTGTATCCTCCTTGCAAGACTCTGTTATCTGCTAACTTTCTGCAGGAATATGACTCCCAGCAGACAACCTGAGCAGGATTTTAAGATGATAGTTCACCACCTACAGGACAGATAAAATATGAGGACACCTTCCAGTATCCACAGGAAATTACCACAGTTAATATTAGGACCCCAGGCTGCACCTTTAAGAGCAGTGCAACCGAGCTTCTGGATGTTCAAAACCAACACTTGGAGTCCAAAGTTTAAAAAGATAAAAGGGCCTGGGATTTAGCTCAGTGGTTCAGTGGCCTGCCTTGCAAGCACAAGGTCCTGAGTTCGATCCCCCATACCCCCCCAAAAAATAAAAGGGCTAAAAGAAAAGCCAATATTTTATCTTTTTACCTCCATAGCCAGGACGCAGGGCCCAATGGGACCCCTCTAAAAGGGCACTGAGACTTCCAGGAGTCACCCAATCTTCCAAGCAGGGAAATTGCTGAGACTCCAGAGGCCAGAGGCCAGCCCAGCCAATGTGCATTCTGCAAAAAGGGGGGTCAAGGAAGAGGACGATGTCTCCATGCTTCCAAGGGAAGCCATGTGGTCAAGAAAACCATGAGCTCATGACCTATGTTGGCAGGTGACAAAGCTGGTAAAGGAGAAGGACGGGGAGCAGAAGTAACACTTAGCAACCCTGGCCTTAATAATAAAAGAGGTTAATTTTGATTATCTATCTACGCAGTGTTAAACACCCAACAGGAAAGTATAACCACAGAGTAAAATAGTTAATAATGACATTGTTAACAAAAACAGATAATTTTTGTTCATTTCTCCCTAAAATTAAGTAGAGGATAAATGTCATGGGAAATAGCGAACGACCACAATAGAGATAAAGGACAATCAAACTCCTGAGCCCTTAACCCATTTCTTATTAAAAACACAATTTGGATTTCTTCTGAAACAGTCAGGGTCTTAAAAGCAGTTTTTACTAAAACCTCTGACTATTCATTTGGACCTACAAATGCCAAAAAAAAAAAGTAGAACAACGCATGACCTTTGTATTATCCTGTATTACATTAAACCTTTAGATTAATGTTACTCATTTTGAAAAAGTCAATGAAACAAGGTTTATTAGCCCTAATCATACCCACCAAGATAAGAGTAACTGAAGTAATTTTCAAGATTCACAGACATATAATTAATAACTTTTCCAACATCCAGTTCCAAGCCTTGTCCTGAAGTAGCCATTGTCATCTATGTCCCCAGAGGAGCAGGGCCTCACGTGACTGCAGCTGCCAAAAAGACAAACCTTTCCTGGGAACAGAATCCCCTCCAGAGCTGTGACACCAGTGTGGCTTGCTCGTGGGCCAGCCTGATCTGAATCCGAGCACTGGCCCCAGCTGTTCCTCAAGCTGGAGTCCCTTCCTTATCGTCGCTTACCTTCTAGAGCTTTTGCCTGTAAATGTGTACTGTTGCTCTTGTCTTAATTTGCATTGCCCCTAGCATAGCAAAGACCTATGCTAGCCACTGACAGGAGTACGTATTTGTCAAGACTTAGGAAACTGTACTTAAATTTTAAAAGTTAAGCTCAGTGTGCCCTTTGGTGTATCTAAATCAGGAAAGGCCTGCCTTTATTCCTTTTTTCTTTTTTTTTTTTTTATAAATTTTGTTTGTTTATTTTTTTGAGAAAGGGTCTCACTACATAGTTGAGACTGACCTGGAACTCACTATGTAGCCCAGGCTGGTCTCGAACTCACAGCAATCCTCCTGCCTCAGCCTCCTGAGTGCTGGGATTATAGGCGTGCATCACGACGCCCAGCATCCCTTTCTTTTCTTAATGTGATAGTAAAATAAAAAATCTTTAAAACAGAAGCTTTATTACTTGTACATGTTAACTATTACATTTTTATATGCAGCCTGAGACAGTTTCTTTTCACTGAAAGGAAAAGGAAAAAAAAAATTGGCCACAGTTTGAACAAGCCTGGAAAAATATGACAGTTTAAAACACCACAGGGAGGCACCTCACCTGCCTGTCCACCAAGGGTCTCCTCTCAGCTTTGAAAGAAATTTTTTAAAATTTCCACTTATGTCTGTGTCGCAGTGCAGACAAGACTAATGATAGACTATATTGTTATATAGCTATTATTATTGTAGCTAATGATAAACTATATTATTCTAAACGATGTTGTGTGAAGTGTTTGCTTTGCAGTTTACTACATCTTGATCTGCCGGCTGCCTTCATGTCCAGCTTCTGTCTAGGTTCCAGGTTCTAGGTTGATGGGGGGGGTCCCAAATCCATCCCTAAGGTGCACGTGGCACGTGCGCTCCCTCCCCCTGGACAGCGGGTCCTCTGGTTCCCATCCCTGCATCATCTGCCAAGAGCAAGAGCAGCCAGATGAGTCTGGAGTCCCTGTGTCTGAGTAATTCTGATGGACAGATACTAGAGTGTGTTGTTCCCCTGTTATCACTTTGGGAACACAATCTTTTGGCACCCGAACTTGTAAACGCAGATTAACAGAGCCTCCCTCCCTGCAAAATTGGTTTTTCCTTTCCTCTCTTTCTAAACAGCCTTGCTCACCGGGTTGCACTGGATTTATGTGTTTTTGATAACTCAGGTCAAAGTGACCACGAGCAGCCCTATTTATCCTGCCTGGCCTTGCCTCGTAGGAGTGCCGAGGGTCAAGTCTGGTTATAAAAGGCTACAGCAAACCTGCAGGGCACGAGTGGCAGTCCCAGCTCAGCAAAGTAAGTCAGAGTCATTCCCTGCCCAGACAGGGCACAAAGAGCAGGGCTCGGGCAGCATTGGGCTGCAGGAATAGGGCTCATGGGAGAGAAGCAGCTATAACGGGAAGACTGGGGTCCAGGGTTCCAGGGTGGTGCTGCAATTCCAGGTGCCTTGAGAAGTCCCAACCTCAGTCCCAAAGGAGAGTCCTGCAAGGCCCGGACCACTGGGTTTCTGTGCCTTTGCCCTCCCACTGTCCCTGGGCTTCGCAGTGCCAGTCTTGTGCCTGTGTACATGGGTGCTGGTGGACGTGCGACCATGTTTTTCATCCCACAGATGCTGTTCTCATGGACCATTGGCCTTCTCCTGCTGGCCACCATCAGAGGTGAGGATCCTGTCACCAATCCTCCGAGAGAAAGTGACAGGCTGTCCCAGAGGTCACAGAGGTGTCCAGATGAACACATAGCCTCTCTGACGCAGAGATCCGGGCACTTGAGAGACAGTTGATATTCATGACATTCGGTGTGCACAAGGCCAGCAGGGACTTCCCAAATGAGGCAGTTTTCAGGCAGCAGGAAGTAGATCAATGAGTCGCTGGACCGCCTGATGATTAGAGGCACTTAGTAAACATGTTGTGTCCAGGCACCAGCAGACCGCAGAATGAGAATCCAGGAGGAGGGGCCTGGGAGTGAGTGTGGTATGCCCGTGTACTATATATATTATATCTATTCATCCCCAGCCCCCAAGCGATTCTTATCACCACAGCAGTTTCAGGAACACTGATGGCAAACATAAAGACCAGCCCCAGCCTTAGCTGGCCCTGGCTCTGACCTAAAAGGTCTTCCTGCACAGAGATAAATTGCTCTTTCCAAATCCTCACGTGTGTTGTCCTGTTTGCGGTTCTTCCTGCCCCAGGGAAAGAAGTCTGCTATACACACCTTGGCTGCTTCTCCAATGAAAAACCATGGGCAGGGACCCTTCTGCGGCCTGTAAAGATATTTCCAGAATCCCCTGAAAGCATTAATACTCGGTTTCTTCTGTACACCAATGAAAATCAGAACAACTACCAAGTAAGAGGGGCGTGGAATGACTGCATGGCGGGCAATTGGAGGTCCCAAGCTGGAGGCCTCATGTGGCTGTCTAGGGGGGCAGTTCTCTGGCTTAGAACTTCCCAGAAGGTGCTGTCCTGTCAATGTGAGACCTAGAGATCTTGGGAATCTTAAACACCTGAGCATCTGGTAAGATTCATGTATGCCTAACCTAAAGGACTACACACACACACACACACACACACACACACACGTGTAACACCAGCATCCTATTCCCTTGGAAGAGTGGCAGTTGTGGAGAAGCCCAGGTATGTCCCCAGCAAAGTCCTATCTCTCCCCTGTACCAGGCAGTGGAGGTAAAGAAATCACTTCTCAAAGAGCTAGAAAACAGGAGAAGGGACAATTTTCAACACAACAGAAAAGACACAAGGTCCCAGAGAGCAAGTTTCAGCGCCAGAACACCTGCCAGGCGGGGTGTTGTTCTGGCAGAAGGGGCCTGAGCAAGACCACGGGCATGTAGGAGTCTGTCTGAAATTCTCAGGCTCCACTGGGCTGAATGTCACCCAAGGCCTGCCGCTTCTGGCCAGGGCTCTGCTACTACAGTGCGACATGAAATAGTGCCTCCAACGAAGGACAGAGGCCGGGCTGCTAATCCCGTTGTGGTCTCTTGCCTAGTTTCATGATTAAGAGAAATACTAGAGTTCAGTTAAGAGGTTCAAGAAAATAGAAAATCTATGAGTTTGGGCTTCCTGAACTCTAGCCACAACCCTGGCCAGAAACAGGGATGAAAAAAGAATTAAGATGCGCTGTGCACGTGCTCCAACTCCCCATGAGGAATGCGATCGTTATGTGTTGCAAATATTTACCAATAAAAATTAAAATTTAACGAAAGATAAAATAAAATTCTGGAAGGAGTGGGGGAAGGAATTCCTCTTGGTGTGACCCAGCTATGTGGGGATTGACCGTGTGATGTCTCGTACCGGGACCCACGGATTGGAAAGGCCAATACTCAAATTCATCTTTTCTAACTGAACCAGCTGATCAATGCCACTGACCCGGCCACCATCAAAGCTTCCAACTTCAACCTGGACCGCAGGACCCGCTTCATTATTCACGGCTTCCTAGAAAACGGCGAGAAGTCCTGGATGACAGACTCGTGCAGGGTAGGGGCCCACCCTGTTCACCAGGCACTCGGAGGAGACCAACGCCCAGCACACAGGTTCCAGTAGTGCACTCCCGAGGCCCAAAATCAGCCCAGGAAATTCTCCAGGGAGACAGGGCTCCTTCCTAAAACCACTGAGGAAAGCCTGGTTCTCAGGGCATCCACTGCCACATTTTCCCTACCCATAAATTTCTAGCCAGCCGCCTCCTCTGGGGTTAAAGGAATCCAGTGCCTAGCAAGAGAGTCTAATGTGTAGACTGCACAAAATTCCTGACACTTTCATGTCTGACTGGTGATAGACAGTCCCTGTGTGACACTTTGTTTAAAAGCTTAAATATTGGCACGTGTGCCCCACGGACTGTTCTATGATTATAGAAAGGGTCTGCATTTGTGCCGTCCAAAGCAGGAGCCACTAACCACAAGTGAGTATGCAGTGCTTGGAGTGGGGCTAGAGCGATTGGTAAATTTTGTTGGGTAGTAAATTTTTTCAGTAGACCTTGACCCGATAAGTGGGCTTTGTGACCTGGCTGTGCCAGTAACCATCTGTCAGACCTTAGACCAGACACTTGCCCGTTTCAGCCTCAGTTTCCACACCTGTTAAGCAGGGTGAGTGTACACCTAGTGTACACAGTGCTGTATCGAGTGTTAAATTGTGACGGGGAAGAGGATGAGTTTGTGGCACAGCCACTTGATGCTGGGAATTCTCATCTCTGTCTTCCCCAGAGAATGTTCCAAGTGGAGAAGGTGAACTGTGTCTGCGTGGACTGGCAGGGCGGGTCTCGGACCATATATGGCCAAGCCACTCAGAACATTCGCGTCGTGGGCGCTGAGGTCGCTTACTTAATACAAGTGCTGTCGGTAAGGCATGCCCGGCCGCTTCGGGAGAGAGCACACGGCGCCCAGAGCCCGGGGCTGGGCGCAAGTCAAGTAGCCCAACCACTCTCCCTGGTGATGGCCCGGAGGCAATATCACTTCTGTCCCCAGCTAAGGGCCCTGACCTCCTGCAAGCTGGGTTTCCCTTCCCCGCAGGCTGCTCTGGAAAGGAAAGAGCGCTTTCATCCTTCCAGCGGGGGATTGGAAAGCCCGACCTGCCTGAGACGGGGGCGGGCGCTCTGTAGTCGGCCTTTGCCGCACTTGGGCCCGTTGCCAGGCTTTCAGACTGCAGAACCCGGAGGGGCGGGCGGGTCAGGTCGCGCTAGGCCTAGACGGCGTCCCCTCCCCTCCTCTCCTGTGCACGCTGTGGGGCCTGACCCGTCCTCCCTCCGCAGACGAAGCTGGGGTACGACCCTGAGGACGTGCACATCATCGGCCACAGCTTGGGCGCGCACGCGGCGGCGGAGGCGGGAAGGCGACTGCAAGGCCGCCTGGGCAGGATCACAGGTAGGTGGGAGGCAGGCGAGCTCCTGCACCCTGCTGGCCCTCTGGGAGCTGATTCTAGGTGGTGCTGAGTAAAAAGTAATTGCCCGTGCATTTTAAAGTGAATTAGAAAATAGCTGATTGCAAATACTAATGCGTTTATGAAACAAGAAAAATGCAATAGCATATTAAACCCATGGCCTCGGGATTATTCCTAAAGTGCAGTGTGCCAAAGTAAAAAAAAAAAAAAAAAAAAGTGTGATGATTTTTAAAACTTCATCAGATCCACAGATGTTTCTTTGGTGTCTTTGCTGTGTTGCTAAAACGAAAAGTTCTAGTTGAGACCTGCGCCATAGGTCTTGCTCAGCAAACTCTGAGCAATGAATAAATGAACGGACCCTAGGCAGAATGAATGCCTCTAAGACAGACAAAGATAACGATTTATTTTGGGCAGTCAAATCAGTATGGAACTTAAGCGAACAGTTTGGTTCAGTTTTGATGCGTGTCCCTTTTGCTGGAGGCACTGTTATAGGCACTGAGTGAAGGAGGAGGGGGTAATAGTTCTTGGTTATGTAGAATTTTTCAATTTACAAGACCTTTTTCATCTTTGCCTGGGGTTTCTGCAATACCCCTCTAAGGCAGATGTGCTTATTCCCATGTTCTAAACAAGGACAAACATCTGAACTTGAGCAGTGTCAGGGCAAGAATATTAGTCTCTGTGTGCAGTGTTCTCCCACCCTCTGCCTCTCTTTGAAAATGAACTGGTCACAGCCCCTGGCTCAGGTAATCCCATCCAGTACAGGGAGCTGAAACCCAAGTAGGCAAGGGAAATTCAGAGTGAAAGTAATAAATGCAAAATAATGCAAAGCGGCTAACATAGGTTGAGAAAGAATGGTTCGATTTTCCTTGAGATTGTCTTTCTGTTGGGTCTCGGAGGAGAAAGATGGAGCCAGAGAAAGGGAGAATGTGGAGGAAGGGCCAAGCAGAGGAAAAAACTCAAAGCCATAGAAGTGTGGGTCTCAGGGACTGGGGAGCAGCTAAATGAGAGGCCAGACAGCTTACAGACCCTGAGTCCAACAGCCAGTTGGTAACATGTGTGAGAAAAAAATAAGAAAGGCCGGTTGAGGATTTAACTCAGCGGCACCGCATTTGACCGGACCTTGCAAGGTCCTGAGTTCGATCCCCAGTACCAAAAATAAATAAATAAAAATAAGCAAGGGGAAATGAGGTGCACAAGGATCACCTCAAATCCTGCATGAAGCCAGGCACTAGGGATTTCCCAATATTCTTCCTCAGACAGTATTCCCATTCCCGTCTTTCTGTCCCAGCCTTTTTCCCAGGCAGACTGGGAGCTGCCATAGCAATTGGGGTCTGGGGCCCTTGGTTTGTAGGCGTGGGGTTTAGATCCAAGTCTTTTTTCAAAGTGCAGCATGTCTACCTCCTTCCATTCAGGGCTGGATCCAGCAAAGCCATACTTCCAGGACACGCCCGAGGAAGTTAGACTGGACCCATCTGATGCCATGTTTGTGGATGTGATTCACACAGATACTGCTCCCCTGCTTCCCTCCTTTGGTGAGTTCCTTACTCCAACACCCTGGTGACCAGAGTTTATAACTGATGACATTGGTTCCAAGAATCCACTACCCCCAAAACAGGCATACACACATACACACAACAAGCACACACATGTACACACACTTTAAGGAGGTTATTCAAAAAGGCTAACTACAGGAATGGCTTAGGTATCAACCAGTCAGAATGGATTCCAGCCCCAAACAAACAACCAGCACCATGCAGATGTTATCAGTGTGAGGCCCAAGTAGAACAAGAAATATCCATGTAGAGTCCCTAGGAGGCTATCGTTTAATCTTAAACCGTGCCACCTCCCCCAATCTATCCAACGTGGCAGATACATTTATTATTGCATTTAGCCTGAACTTACAAAATTAATTTTTGTATGGTTTTACTTCCTTTGGAAAAGCTCTATTTATAGTTTCTTTCGCTGGAGGCTAAATATATCCTTTTATTTAAATCTTCTAAAATCAATTTTTTCGATATTTTCTTATATAACCATTCATGCAATGTACCAATGCAGGCTGTGCTTTTAAAGGTGATGATAATGGTGGTGGTACACTGAACATTAGCTTATGAATCCTGTAACATTCACAGCTGAGGAACTGAAATTCACTGACATTAGTGATCATGAAGTCTGCAATCACAGATTTCTGTGCTTCAAAAGCCAGAGCTCCCAACCATTGTGCTATGGCTCTCATATGTGCCTAATGTCATTTGATCTCAACATGTCAGTATAGTGTGGAAATCAAAATTTTAAAATAAGCAAAGTAATAGAAATTGCACAAGACATGTGCCTATCACAGTTTTTGGTATCAGAGCATGTTAGGTTTTCCAGGGCCTCACCGGCACTGACAGCCAAGCACACTCACCCAGCTTCCCTTGAATCTTACTTCCTATGTTTTTTCCTTCCTCCTTATCTTGCCAAGCTCCTATCTGAGAAGTTTCTGCAGAGGTAGAGGTGGTGATACTTGTGCTGAAGGCAGAATCTTGCTCTTGTTGGGATGAATTGAGCATTTTACTGGACCATGATCTAACTTGGGACCACTTAGCTCTGCTCCTTTCTGCTTCACGTTTCAGGTTTGGGAATGAGCCAAAAGGTGGGCCATCTGGATTTCTTTCCAAATGGAGGAGAGGAAATGCCTGGGTGTAACAAAAATATCCTCTCAACCATCACTGATCTAGATAACCTCTTGCAAGGTATGTAAATAAAAGAAGTAAGGAATCAACTTGTGCATCTGGGGAGAAAGCAGAGTGTGTAGGGCTGCCATGAAACTGAATTTGCCACCATTTATGGAATGCTAGTGCCATGAGTTACTTTACCCTCACTAGCCTTATTTTACAGCTGCAGAAAAGTTAGACAGCTTGTCAGAGCCCACCCTATATTTAAGCCTGATTTCTGACTATGAAGCTCTGATCTCATGTCCCAGCCTGTGCCCTCTGCCCCAGTTGTGAAGATGCTGGGACAAGTCTGGATGGGCACATTGGGAACTACCCAGCTCTGGCTTTGACCACCCAGCCTCCCTTCAGCACCTGTTCCTTGGAGAACCGCAGAGTGTAAGCAGAGCTATGAGGCTGTGACGTTCTTGCTGTTCATCATTGTCAGGTCCTAGGCATGGAAGGGGGCTGAGCTGATCAGAAGACAGATGAGGGATATGCTCTGTGGGTCTGGGCTGTGTGTGTGCTGTGGGGATCTGAGCCCAGGAAGCTCAGACCCACGGGAGGTCCTGGCAAGCCTGTATGTTTCTGCTCATCCGAAAGATCAGGGTCCATAGCCATAACATCATGTGACTGCCTTCTTTCGGGCCTTTATTCTTCTCACCCCTCCGGAGGCCCTGCTTCACTCTCAGCCCTGAAGGAGCAGGCTTTCGATCTGTAGTCATTTTCATTTCTCTTTACTTTTCTGAATTAGAAGTTTCCTACAGCTAAGGAGTGTGCCTCAGGCACCCAGACGCTCTAGTACCCTGTTGGGACCTTGCTCAAAGCAGGCACTAAGTACATCCTGTTAAATGGAGTTGAGTGGTCCTGCACGGCATCTTAGCATTCCGTGTGCTCAGTGTCAGAGAGCAGGGTGGCTAAAGCAACCACCAGCATCCACCAACAAATAAATGGAGCTTTGAACTTCTCGGCCCCGCACCAGGTAACTCTCCAGAAGATGTGGCTGTTTGGCTTTCCCTGAAGGAGCCCCAGAGTCACAGTAATAGCTGCCCCTCCCAGAATTGACGGGAAGGGCACACATAATAGGAAAGAGCTGGAGTTTAATTAAAGAGGCAATTTGGAGTGAGCAAGCCCATGAATGCTGCAGTGTGTTGCTATTGTGTTGCACTCCAGAGTCACCCAGGTGCTGGCACTGGGAACAATTAAATCCACTTTGTTCTCTATTATGGAGTCCTTAGGCAGCAATTTGGGATGAAAGAAACAATTAAGTTTAAAACAGGTTCTGTTGTGTGGTGGTGCGTACTGGTGCAGGCACTCAGAACCTGGCTGGCCGGGCTGAAGACGCTGGGCCCTGGGCATAGTGAATCCACCCTGGCCACAAAGGGGAGCATTTCTTTCTTGAGGGGTGTAACGTACAGCCCACCAGGTCACCCCAGAACAATCCCTGGTGTGGGGTTGCTGTGGATTACTTCATGAGAAGTTTTGTACCAAGTAGCTGGAAAAATGAAAAAACAATTTTCCAAACGAAACAATTTTGGCTTAGAGAGAGAGAGAGAGAGAGAGAGAGAGAGAGAGAGAGATGGTGACTAAAATGTACGGAAAGAGGAGCCAGAGTTGCCTTGTACTTGGCATAGCAGAGTGGAGGAATTGCTCAGCCTGGGCCCTGAGGCACAGAAAAGTTTGGCCTGGGAAAACATGTGTCCTGTCCACGTGGCCCAGGGTCCCCGCATGTAGCACGGCTCAATCCACAGGTGGTGGTGGGTAGTCAGCCTCCTGCTGACTTCCTTAACATGGGAATTCACTGTCGGCCCTGAAACATGGAAAGGTTTCTGTGCTTCTCATGAAAAATTAGCAAAGAATCTGGGCCTTTAACAACTGGCAGGGCTATGTAGGATCCTTTGAAAAGCTTCGGTCACTGTCTTCGTGTGCCCGTGTGTCTGTCTGTCTGTCTGTCTGTCTGCAGCGCATATTTAATCATCCCTCAGTATCTGAGATTCCAGGACCTCCACAGGGCCAGAACCCACCTAGGTCCCTTATATACGATAGGGCAGCATTCACATATAACTTACATATACCCTCCTGTGCACTATAAATCACCTCTAGGTTGCTTATAGTACCTCATACAACGTATAGACCATGTAAATAGGCTGTATATGTAACATATATGGTGTTATCTTGGGAATCATGAAAAGAGAAAGCCTCCATGTGTTCAGTTTACACATAACTTTGTAGGCTTAACTATATGTTTGTCTTGTGATTGGTTGGCTCCCAAGGGAAGGGGAGGGGAAAGAGAAGAGAAAGGGGAAGGGAAGAATTCATAGATAAGGAGGGCCAACTGTGTATTGCCTCTCTGAGTCATACATATCCATCCAATTGTTCATTTCTCTCTATCTTTTCTCTGTGTCTCTTGTCTCTCTCATAATCTCAGTCTCTCTCTCTCTCTCTCTTGCTGTCACCCCACACCCGGCCCTCCTCATTCATATTACACACCCAGCCCATGGAGCATTGCACAAAATGCTGTTAGATGTGTCCATCCTTGGCTTTGCCTGGCCCTCAGTAGCCTTCCTCAGCAAATGCCCATTCGTGAAAGGTAGATGGTCAGAAGGGGCCACACTTCAAAGGGGAAAGACCTCCTCCAATTCCCACGGCCTCGCCTTTCTCAGGAATCCGCAGTGTTGTCTCTTGCAACCACAGAAGGAGCCGGGAGTATTATTACAGCAGCATCCTCAACCCTGATGGCTTCCTGGGCTACCCCTGTGCCTCCTACCAGGAGTTCCAGGAGGTAGGTTGCATTGGGCCCTGGAAGGTGGTGGTGGTCCTGTTGTTGGTGCTTTGTCCCTATGGCTTAGAACAAGAGACGGTGTGACCCTGCATGAATGATCAGAGGTTGTGGAACAGCTGAAGCCTCCAACCCTTCTTCCTGCAGGGACAGGGTGGACTGAAGGGGAGAGGCCTAGAGCTGGCTGTGCTGGGCCCACTTCAGGGTGGCGCTCACCTTTTCTTTAATGACAAGTTCATGTTTCACAGAGTCAAAGAAAGCATGTGAATGCCTGTTACACCCATCCCCTGGGTGCAGCAAGTGCCAACATTTTATATGTTTGTGCATATGTGTACTTTGCTCCTAAATTATGTGAAGTTATTAGGACAATATTCTATTCATGAATACTTCAGCATGTATCTTCTAAGAACAAGATCATCCTATAGAACAGCATTCAAGAAATTTAACTTGGATGCACTAATGGCTCTAATACATAATCTATATTCAAACTTCTCCTTATCCAGGTAATGTTCTCTAGAACTATCTGACTCCTTCCTTCCTTCCTTCCCTTCTTTCCCATCTTCCTTTTCTTCCTCCCCTTTTCCCTCCTTCCTTTCTTCCTCTGTCTTTTCTTTCCTTTTTTTTTATTACATTGCCTTTATTGTCTTATCTCTTTAGTCTCCTTTCATCTCAAACAGTTTCCCATTTTTTCCCTTGGACTTCCAGAAAGTGGAAAATTTTGAAGAGTCCAGACAAGGTGTTTGGTAGAATATCCCACACTCTGAAATTGGTTGATTATTTCTTTGTGAGTCTATTGGTGACGTTAGATCCCCCTCAGTCACATCCTATCACAATCTATCTAAACAAGGTGTTACCAGCCTTATTGAGTCAGGGCTCTTGCTAGCAACTGACAGAAACTCAGCCACTCCATACATTTATTTAATGGCCTTTTGTCCATTATTTAATAATACAGGTTTTGATTATTTGGTTCAGGTGATGCCCGCTGGATTTCTATTTCCCCTAAATAATCTATTAGGGGAAAGGTTTTAGTTTTTATTGGAACCTAGTAAAAGGTTTGATTTTCTGTTGAGGATGCTTGAGTCCATTATTACAGAAAGTTGCAAAAATTCAACATTTTAAGTTTTTCTCCCAAAGATATAAACATGCTTACATTTGTATTTTTTCCTTTCAAAATAAATTTTGATCTTCACATTCTGAGATGAACTAAGGTCAAAGGGACCTGATATCTGATTGCCAAGGTCTATGAGTGTTCAGCGAACAGCTTTGGCTATGTTGGCTGTGATCGGTGCATGTGTAGTAATGTGACCTCCAGCCCCTGTCTTATGCTCTCCAACTTGCAAAAGAGCTTTGCACACCATGCATCTGGGATGCACATGAAGTTAAAGAAAAGAGAGAGGGAAAAGATACTGTTTCATAAAGTCTTCACCTGTTCAAAAGCCTACTAATAAACTCCCACTTGGTGAGCACTGAATGGGGACTAACTAGTCTGGAAAAATAATTTGCATTCACGTGAAAGTGAGAACTGTCTTCCCTTGTGCCCCTCCTTTTTTTTGGTACCGGGGATCGAACTCGGGTCCTTAAGCTTGCAAAGCAGGCGGCGGAACCACTGACTAAATCCCCGGCCCCCTTGTGCCCCTTTTTAAAATAACTGTTGTCGGTCCCATTGACATCTCCCTAGAGACATTGTCTTGCATTCCCCTTTCAGATTTTGAATGTATTAATTCACGTATATGACTTGTCTTCCAGCTGTACCCTAAGTTCTCAGAGTTTTTTGTTGGGTGCTATGTAAGGTCTAACACAGTTCCAAGCACGGGCTGCTGCTTGGGTAGACAGATGCTTGCTAATGTGGGTAGTGGGATGGGAGAACGGGTGAGTGGGAGGTACGACCCATAGATGGGAGGACAGATGGAAATGAGTGGGTAGATGGACCGTTAGATGATAAAGATAGGTAAACAGGTGAGAAGGCAGATTGGTCGATAGACTGAACACGTCCAAGGCTTACTACTAACAAACAAATTATATTCTTTTCAACTAGAATGGCTGTTTCCCTTGTCCGGCCATAGGATGCCCCAAAATGGGGCACTATGCTGACCAGTTTAGGGGAGAAACCAGTGCTGTGGAACAAACCTATTTTCTGAACACAGGAGATAGTGGTAACTTTACTTGTAAGTTCCTATTTTGCTCTCTTAAAAAGTCTTGCAAATAGTTTTAAAAAGTGTACCAACCTTGTTTAGTCAGGATCTTTGGTAGCAATCGACAGACAGCTAGCTTGAGCTGTCATGTAGGACAGTAGATTGGCATTTGTCTTGGGCCTCACATTCACCCCTCTAACTAATAATACTGATGGGCGGCAGCAGAGTAAGGAACAATGAGGGGTCTGGCTGGCTTATGCATCTCCCCACCCCCAGGCACAGGCGGGCCAAAGGTCACCCTAGTGACAGCTATCATACTAGTCCTACAAACATGCACCCTGGTTTCGTGGCTGCTGCTACTTTATCTAGCTTCTCACTGAAAAGTACAAACATTGATTTGCTATAAATAATGTCATATAATGTCTATAGAGAAGATCCTTAGTTACCAAAAGTTTCACATTTTAAAAATGAGGTACTTTACAAAACACTTTTCTCATAGAGTATTTCATGTAATCCTGTATTTATCATAAAACAGAATAGCTTGGCAGTATGTATAAAGTCTCACAGCATCACTTTAACCCAGACTGTGCTTCTCGGAATGCGCCATGTGTGCACCAGATGTTTCCAAGGATGCTCACTGTGGGATTCTTTCTGATAACAAAAGATAGAGGGGGAAATCATCATGTCCACCGATTGTAAAATAGGCCCAATGGTATAGACTAAACACTATGTGTAGCCATTTTTGGAAAGAATGCAGTTCTATGAACTGAGTAGAAAAACTCACTAAGACATCTTAAGTGAGACGCAAAGTGGAAAAGCCTTGCAACCAAGTGTCTTAGTTCAGGATGCTGTAACAGAACACCAGAGATGCAGTGTTATATAAACAAGAGAAATTTGTTTCTGAGAGTGCTGGAGGCTAGAAGTTCAAGATCAGATGCTAGCATGGTCAGGATTTGGTACATACAGATGTGCTGTTGTAGCCTTCCTTTGAGTGGAAAGAAGGCTCTCGAGAGAGCCCTCCAGGGTTCCTTTCACTAATCCCATTCATAGGAGTTCCACCCTGTTACCTGATTATCTCCCAAAGGGCCCCTCTTCTAGTACTAAATTTGGGGGACACAGACCTTGAGTCGATTTCCTCTTGTATACAGTGCTGTGTTACTCTTTATTTGTCAAGGCACATTTGTTGCGCTGAACTATAGTATTTCCTGCCCTCAGAGTCTCTTCATCCCAACCCAGAATCTGAATTCCTGTGTCCCAAGTCCAATGGAAGAAACCGTTAGCCACATCATCCCTGACCTCTCACCCATGGGGGGATTCAGAGCTTAGAAAAATAATGCTTACATTGGGGTCATTGTTTCAAGTTCATTGAACTGATTGTATTTCTTTGACCAGGTTGGAGGTATAAGGTATCAGTCACACTATCTGGAGAAAAGGATCTGAGAGGGTACATCATGATCTCTTTGTTTGGAAAAAATGGAAACTCAAAACAGTATGAGATTTTCAAGTAAGTTCCATAGTGAATTGAAATGGCCATAAATTCCATCATAGAAAAAAAAAAAAGCTTGAGTATAAACTGCTTTATAAATCTAGGCACTTGTTACACAGAGCCATTGAATCCTGGACTCTCAGAGCTGGAAGGAGGTCTAATTTAGCTCAATCATCTCTTTTTTAAATAATTTAAACAGTAATACAAAGGACAGCCTGAAACAGGGAGAGATATTTGGCGGATGGGGAAGGGATCTAGAGATCAAGAAAGTGGAGAGGGAATAGAGGACAGGAGAAATAAAAAAGAATTCAGATGTGTTAGTCCATGTACCAACTCCCCAAGATGAAAATGAAAATGTATACTAATCAAAATTATGTATTAATTATGTACTGAAGACTAAGTTCTTCGTTCAGCTGCGCGACAACTCCCCCTTCTCCAACACACGCTGTCCACACACGCAGGCGCACAGGAAGCCTGGGGCCAGGTGATTGCTGTGTGGAGGCCTCAACCCCTGGCTTGTGCTGGATGTGTGAGGAGATTGGGTAAATACGTAATGAATGAATACCTAACCTGTGTGGTACAGTTGGATTCTGTTTTTGCACTAACTTAACAAGGGAGTTAAATTTCTTTAACAATTTCCTGTGCCACGTCATCAGATGTTAACAAATGGCACCTGCTGAGTTTCTGCATCTTTAAACAAAAGACACTGCACTGACTGGTCCTGGAGCAGACTTATAGTGTTATATACTCCAAATATGTCACTTCTCTCTACAGACAAACTCGAAGAGTGGAAATCTCAAGTCTGGTGTTTGTTAAAAGTGTGTTCTACACAAACACATCTGTGTTTGGCAGTACCTGAGTGTGCATTGAGTTATTCCAGGTCTTTGCAGAAAACCCAACAACAGAAGCCACTGTGTGGAGAAACAATAGAATTCTACCGTCCAGGTATCCATACACCCAGCCGGTATTTCATGTCTGTATTTTCAGGGGAGCCCTCAAACCAAGTTCCAGGCATACACATGATATTGATGTGGACTTCAATCTTGGAGAAATCCACAAAGTCAAGTTCCTGTGGAACAACAATGTGATAAATTTCTTTCAGCCCGAACTGGGAGCTTCCCAAGTCACAGTACAGAGTGGTAAAGATGGGACCGAGTACGTATCTTTTATTCCATCGCAGCTTGATGATATTTATGTATTAGACTGTCTGTGCACCCATACATATATCCAGTACCCACTCACATCTGTGTAGCCATCTTCTCGTCTCTTCACTTACCCATCCTCTATTCCTCTGTCTTGTCCTGAACATCCATTTATCCATTCAGACATCTATTTCCTTGTGGACATCCAGCCAGCCTTTCACCCACATCCCTTAGCCATCACCCTTCAATTCACACATCCCGTTCCCCAGCCCTAAGCATCCACTAATCTACTTTTTGTGACTGCAGATTTTTCTATCCTGAACATTTTAATATGAATAGAACCATAGAATATGTAACCCTTTGTGACTGGCTTCTTCCACTTAGCATAATGTTCTTGAGGTTCTTCCGAACAGCACGTATCCGTACTTCATTCTTTTTATCACCAAATAATATTCTGCTATATGTACATAGCACATTTTATTTTTTCAGTTGATAGACATTTGAGTTGTTTCTTTTGGAAACTGTCATAATGCTGCCATGAACATTCATGTATAATTTTTTACACGGACCTGTGTTTTCATCCTTGTGTGGATACACCTAAGTGCGGAACGGTTGGGTGCTATGCTAAGTCTCTTTAACCTTTAGAGGAATTGCAAGGCTTTCCAAAGTGGTTGCCATGTTTTCCATTCCCAGAGGCACCATATGAGGGTCCCTCTGATCCTGAATAAACAGAGAAAATCATCTGTGGGCCAGCAGCTGGGACACCACTGGCTGCTGGTACTTGAGGTCAGAGCGGCAGAGCTCTGTCTCTATGTGGCTGATTCATAATTCAGCACATTAGGAGCTTGTAAGGCCAGGCGGGTGCTCTTTCTCTTTGGTGCCACAAAACTCTTCAAAGGGAGCTGAATGGGGGGAGGATACTGTCGACTTATTCAACATTACATCTCCACCAGCAAAAGAACCTCATGCTGTAACTCTCTCCGTAGGTATAATTTTTGCAGCAGTGACACTGTGCAAGAAGACGTCTTACAGACTCTTTTCCCTTGTTGAAAGCACGGTGCAGCTTTTGTCTCTTGGTGATAATAAATTGCTGAACGCACTTGGTCTGAGGTTGAGGTGTTATTTGGACCTTCTCCATGTTCTAGAGTCATGTTTGGGAAGTGATTATTGAACTTGGAACCAAATTTTCTCCAGGGATGCCTGGAATCTTCCACCCACCCACCTCCGCCATGTGGCTCTCTTCCAGGTACCTTGTCTGGCCTGTGCTTATGTATTTGATTCCCTTAGACAATAAAGCACTACATGGTTTGCAAAAGACACTGTTGCTCCCACAGTTGCCCACCCATTTTTTAACATCTAATGGGGGGGCAGACATCACATAAGAGCAGCCAGAGACCCGAGTGACTCCAGACTGTGATGATTTATGCTGAAATCCACCTGCAGCTTGAAGAGCTTGTTATAAGTTAATACATGCACGTGGGAGAAAAATTCAAATAATACGGATGGATATTCTTATAACAGGCGAGTCTCCATCCACCTGTGTCTCTAAACTGTCTCGGCCCTTCTTTCCCAGAGGTAGCTCAGGTTGTTTTTTCCAGAAATAGTCTGCATATACGTATGTATGTTTCTATCTCACACCCCTCAGCCCAGCCACATTTGTTTGCCCAAGCGTAAATGGTAGAATATTATCCATACTGCTAGGCAGCTTGCTTTTCTCATTAACAATAAACTGACCAGGTTCTCTAGCTGCACGGTAAAAGCCGCTTCATTCTTCACAGGACTTCAGAGATTCCACTGATAGACACTCGGGGTGTAGATGGTGGAACCCGTTGAGGAACGTGGAGGTGGCTTCCAGAATTATCCTACCAGAAATATTTATGCAATTCATATATCCTTCTGTGATATTTTCTGCATTATACATGTTTGCCCAATAAATGTTCAGCATGCATTTGTTTTTATCAAGACTGCCAAATTATGACCATTGTGCTAATTTACACTCCGACAAATGACACTGTAGATTGAACTACTAGAAGTGGCCGACTTTGCAGGCAGAGTTCAAGCACTGGCATTCTCATGTGGTTCACTCTAATGTGGAGTGTTGTCGAACCTTTGTCCAATTTGTTAGGTAAAGTGCTTTTCCTTACATAGTAATTTCTGTTTATATTATTGTGAATGAGGGGTGAACATCTTTTCAGTGTTTAATGACTAGTTTTCTTTCTCTGTGAGTTGTCTGCATTCTTTACCAATTTTAAGGCATCTTTTAAATATTATTTGTACTTTATAGAGTCCTTTCATATTAAGAGAATTAGAATATTCTTCAAATGCAAATATTCCCGCCAGTTCATCCCTCAGCCAGGGAGGAAACGGGAGGTGAGTGGAGGCCCCCCGGGGCTGCACAGCTGCACAAACAGAGCCCAGGACCCACTCTTGGCAAGACTGAGCCCCAGCTCAGACTTGGAGGACTCTGTGGGTACCCGAAGTCCCAGCAACTTTCCAGAACCCCTCCCAGTCAGGGCCAGGAGGAGGGAGCTGCCAGGCCGGGGTGTCCAGCTTCTCTCCCCAGCTACAGGGTCATTCTTCAGGCCTGGCATCTCCTTACTGCAGAGCTCCTGGGGCCATCCCAGCCCGTGCGCACACAGAAAACTGACCACTCATCCTTGGGTGTTCACGGAACATATGGGCTGGTGCGAGGTAGAGGGTATAATTCGCAGAACTGGGGACATGAGGTGTAGGGAGCACCTGGTGGGCCAGGGTGGGATAGTCACTGTTGAAATTTTAGAACTCAGAAATAGCTTCTTTGAGCAGATCTCCACAATAGCATCACAACAGATAGCAGTGGCTGGAACTTGAGAATTGTAGGTGATGCAACCAAGATGTGGAAGATGTAAAAGCTCTGTATGTCCCCTTTGGGGAGACCTCCAATATATAATAGAACAAAAGCACTTGAGCTCAACATCTTGGGGTTTTCCTAATGGTCTTATATAGCACTTAAATTTTATCCTGGTTTCCGAAACCTGCTAGACCTTCTAGATTAGTAGAACTATAAAGTATAGGACAAAAGTCCTCAGGCCTGGCTATATATTAGAATCACTGAGGAATTTCAAAAGAAAAGCCCGTATCTAGGCTATATTGTAGACCAGGCGCTGTTTCTAAAGTGAGGGCCCAATATTTTTAAAGCCCCTGGGAGACATAGAGCCAAGAGTGCGAGTCACCAAGATGTGTTTTAATGACACCTTCTCAGAGTTTGTAATGACACTTTCGCTCCTTACTCATGCAAATTCTCATAGTGTGTAGAGAGCTTGAACTCGGCTCTGCAGTCAGGCTGAACTGGTCTTGAATCACAACTGTATTCTTCCCAACCTATACTCCCTGTGCTGGCTGCTCAACCTCCTGTCCTCAACCCTTAGGGCTAATCATATCCCTGCCACACCAGGTGGCTGCTGAGGATTAAACAGCGAGGCACGCAGAGCACAGGCCCTAGGGCCCCTCAGTGACGCCAGAAGGGCTGGCTGGCTTGAGTTATTCTTTTTTTTTTTTTTCAGCTTTAATTGGGTTTATTGGTACATTTTAGGGATACAGTACAGTTACATTCATTGTTGGGATCTTGTACCGTTACATGACAGGTCTTGATTCTCATTTTTTCCCCTTGTCCCTGCCCTCCCTTCACCCCCTCCTCCCCTCCTCATCTACAAGCACTTTATTTTCATCTTTTCATTCTCTCACATTTTTTTCTATTCACATTATTCTTTAAGGGTGAGAAAGACACTGAAGACAAAGAGGTAAAACAAGCCATGACCTCAGAGAAAGTATTTGAAATGGACTCGACAAAGCACTAGAATTCAGAATATTTAAAGGGCTAACATAACAGAAAAATGGACAAAGAACATGAGCGGGCAAACCATATACAGGATGCTTTGTTTGTGTAACTTTAACAAACTATGCAGTGCTGGTTGATTTCGCTCTCAATTCTGGTGACTGGAAATTCCTGATAGTACAGTGCTGCCACCTGGTGAGGACCCCTGGCTGTGTCACAATATGGCAGATAAGCAGGCAGGCGCAGAAGTATGTGTGCGAGGGAGCAAGGGCAAGAAAGAGCCACAGAAGTCATAGAATAATCCAATCTCCTGGAACTAACCCAGTTCCATGAGAACTGATTCATGCCTACAAGATGACATTAATTTTTTCCAAGGGTGGGACTCCTGTGGCCGAATCACCTTCCATTGTACCCCATCTCTTAAAAATCTTCTCAACTTCAACATATTGGAGACCGGGCTTCCAGCATCAGAGCATTTGGGGGGAAACCACATCCAAAACAGAGCTGAGGTAATCTAAACTATAAATATTTGAGATTCAGCCTCACTAGTGATCAGAGGAATACAAATGAAGCCAAGAAAGTAACATTCACACCCATCAGATTATCAAAAGTATAACTTTAACAAAGAAAAAGAATGAACTATGACCCGTATGTACCAACATAGGTAGAGACAAACAATGTCCCCTTGAGAAAAGCAAGTGCCCTGAAGATACCTATTGGGGTACAGAAATATCCACCTCGTGCATTTTCATTCACAAAATACCACTACTCAACACATACGTGGTTCAGAATATCAAACCACGACCCAGAAGACAATTTAAGACACTTCAAATGACAATTAATGTCCTATTTCTTTTTAATTACAGAAGGATTTCAAGCAAATACAAGATAAAAGTTCATCTTTCAAAATTCCTGATAGTTATAGTGGTGCGACAGACAGATTGATTCTAGGAGAGGTGGGGGGTGCTGCCCTGGAGCCCATGTGGGTGAAGTTTGGCATCTTCAGGAGCTCAGGGCCTGAGGGGGTGAAAGGTGACTGGGCACCTCTCTCTGGCCGACTCCTCCGTGGTGTTCCTATGTCTATATTTGTGTTCAAATCCTGACTTATTTGCCGCCCTTCCCAAGACCCACAGAAAGAGTTTCCCTTCTCTGTCATAAGGAACCCTCCATCTTCCCTTCCTGAAGGCCTTGTCACTTGTCCCTAGGGTCACACTGCCATCCCTGTAGCAGGTGGCACTCCTGACGCAGAGCTGGACAGAACCCTGCTGGACCAGCAAGAGACCACAGTTCTGTACACAGCCTTATTTCATGGACACCCTTCCCAGGCATGAGACACATAATTCCATGAAGGCTTTACTGAATCAAGATGTTAATGGTGACAAAGTATGATTTTCTTTAAAGTCCTCCGCTGAGAATCAGGCATCTTCATCCCATCTTCTCAGCCTTTGTGGGGGAAAAATGAATCCTTTACAAAGCTATTTCATAAAATGCTATGTTAAATGAGTAACAAATTACTTTCTGTTTTACTAGCTTTTAATGCTAATAGCGCCATTTATTCCTGACCTTCAGAAATATGAGATATTTTAAATGACAACATAAAAAGAGTTCCTATTTGAAAACCCAAACTACTTTAGACTGCATATTATTACTTCTAAGTATAGTGGGTAGAAGCCTTACGCATTTCAGCATCCCATTTATATCTAGCTGGTGTGTATTTCAGCTGACATTTATTGTTCTCCTGCATACGTGTCAAATTCCTTAATGATGAGTCTGACAAAGGCCCAGCGCTCAGTATATATAAATTACATTTGCTACCATATAATCAGCACTATCTATTAGAATGCTATTTGTGACAAATCATGTTCAAAATAAAAATTGAATTGATTTTTCTGTTATTTTAATATTGTGCCACTCGCAGCAAGCCTTTGATTGAATCTTAAACACTTTAATGCTCTATTTTTGTTTGAGGCAGGTCAGAAATGGAGTTTGTACTATTCACAAAGCTAAAACAATTTGTAAAACAGCAAAATCAAATTTCCAAAAGCATCTTTATTTTCAAGCCAAGGGGATAAATTTGGTAAAGCTATCGTTACGGGATATACGGCTTTAACGATGAAAAGCACACACGCACACATTTAATTTCTATGCATCCATTTTCATCTAAATTAGATTTTAACTTTAATGCAGGGTATGAAAAGCCTCTCTCAGGCCTTTGTTTCTGCCTTTTCTCTGAAGCTATTGCAGGCTTTCTCCCAGCTAATGCAAGGTCCAAATCTTTCTTTGCCCCCTCCCTCTTGGCAGCGGGCTTGGGCTGTATCCTCAATGCTCTGGCTGTAGGAGCCTCTGTTTCTGGAATCCCCCAAGGGGGTGTCTCTCAAAGGGGTGCATGCCTGACCCACACTGCAAACAAAATCGCAACTAGATGCTGGCTGGCACCGTGCTCGAGTGATGGTTTAATGGCAGGGGTGGGTGAATTCGGGCCAGCTGTTCTTTGTATGCCCCGCCCAGCTAAAAATGACTCTCACATTTTTTAATGGCTTCTTAAAGATTCAAACGATGAATATTTCATGATACATGAAAATTATATGAAATTAAAATCTCAATGTTTATCAACAGTTTTATCTGAACATAGCCGCTACTCAGTTGTTTCTGCAATGTCTCAAGCTGCCTTTCTGACGTATTAGTCACTTTCCCAAAAATATGCAATGCCTGCAACTTAAAGGTTCATTATGGCTCATGGTTTCAGTCCCAAGGCACAAATAGTACGGCAAAGGGCCTGGGATTTAGCTCAGTGGTGCCGACGCTTGCCTCACGAGTGCAAGGCTTTACCTTGATCCCCGGTACCAAAAATAAAAATAAAAATAAAAAACAGCATGGCAAAGAAACAGAGCTAGACTCATGGCAGCCAAGTAGCAGAGAGAAAAAGGAGCAGGAAGCAAAACTACAGCCCTGCACCCTGCAGAACACTCCCGCAGTGACCAACTTCCAACCAGGCCCACCTCTTCATGGCACACGCAGCCACTAAACTCATCGCTGATGGGAATAGT